TCTGCTCTTCTTTTTTCCTTGACAGAGGCTGAATAAGCCCAAGGGAATAAAAAAATATTGAGCAAGATTTTGCTTCAAAAAAATATATATGCTTGATTACCTTGCCTGGATCTTCCTTTTGGAATTATTATCAATTGCTATGAATGATTAGGCCTTTAGCAAGTTCGTTGAGCTTGAATTAATTACTCATTTTTTTTCTTAGCTGAGGGTGTTAGACTTGTCAATGGCATGTGAAGATCTCTTTCATTTGTTCTTAGTTCACCTGTACGTTTATGCCATCCACCTTCTTCAGTTTATGTGAAGTCCAAATGTTGTTTCAGCCCTATATACTTGATGTTTTCTTTGTCGGTTCGTTCTCTGCTATCTTTATCCGCATACTGCATTACCTAGGCCTGTTTGATGGCCCTTGGACTGCATGTGTGAAATGTTTTTGGACTCGTTTGGCTGTGAGATACTCCCTGGCTCCAGTTTTACGAAAAAGTTTTGGCATACTTATGAAATTGATCACTTTTTGTTTTGGGGCTTAGCTGTCCCCCCCCCCTATTTAAAACATATGCAAATGGTTACTTCTTGCTTTGGAGCTTTTGGAGTTTTATTGTGTTTCTTCTCTATTGCTAGCTCTATTCGAGAGTCTTGCGAGAGCTTCCCTGTGTTAGTTTGGACTGTTTTCCCTGCTAACTCTATTTGAGAGCCTTGCTGGAGCTTCCTTGTATTAGTTTGGATTGTTTTCCCCTGTTGGATCAATTCGAAGCCTTTATTGTGGCCTCCCTGTGTTGGTTGTGCTTTTGCTGCTTCTACCTAAAATCTGCAGTTTTGGCCTTGCTGCCCCTACCCGAGATCAACTATTTGGGTTCCCTGTGTTGGCGTAGGTTGTTGCCTTGCTGCCCTGACCCGAGATCAGCCATGTGTTGCATCGGCTTTGGTGGTGTTGTTGCTGCTCCTACCTGAAATCTGCAGTTTGGGTTTCCTGTATTGGCATGGGTTGTTGTCTTGCTGGCCCTACCCGAAATCAGTCAGTTGGGTTCTTTTATGTTGAGTTTAGTGGTCCTCTTAGTTGTCTTTACCCCTAATTTGTTGACCTTAGGGTGGGTTTAAATGCTTTAATTCTTGTGGTTTTTGGAAATTGAGTATCTTCTTCGAAAGTCGATTTGCTTGATGTTTGGAAGGAGTTTCAATGCCCAGTTCTTTGAGCTAAATTGACTGCAGTGCAAGGCCCTTTTGATATTTGTTGGGAGAGTTTAGTTGCAATGGGCCCCTTTCGAAGTGCGACTTTTGAGCGAGTTTGGATTGAATTGGGAGCAGCTTGGAATCTTTTGAAATGTGCCTTTCGGAGTGTTTTGTGCTAGCAATTGAAGCATTTCGATACACCTTTTTCGGATTGTTACACTGGAAGTTTGAAAAAGAGAGCTAGCTATTGATGAGTGTGCTCATTTTGCTATTCATTTGAGATGTTTTATTGAGTGAATATTTGAGGCTGACTCTCCTACCGCTTTGACCTCCTTCTTATACTAATTTTGAAGGTGGGTTAGTCTTCTTCTTTTTTTCTTATTTATCACTTTTCGGTTTTTTTTCTTTGCTTCTTGGTTTGGTTTTATGTGCTTATGTCTGAAACATGGGCGCGCATATATAGTTGCGGCTATGTATGAACCATCAAGCAAGGTCGTAAGTTGAACGATCTTTTTTGAGATTTATGGTCATGATGACAAAGGCATTCGGTGGTAGAACGGAATAATATCGCATCCTACGACATCGAGACCCGTCCCAGGGACCCGGTGAAAATGTAGGATGACAATATTATTCACTGACACTAAACTAGCGAGGACCCTTGCCTTCTTAGGCTGTTGGCGATCCTAGCCCGACAGTGTGATCGACTTGTAGACAATAAAATTTTTTAAAATACAACGATAAGAACAGATATGTTATTTACAAAATACTTTGACTACTAAAATAGATATAAATTTTGCTTATATGTGTGAAGCCTATATGCATGCCAAAATATAAAATTTAAGTAATACAATCTGATTGTCCACTGTCAAATACCTATACTAGGCTAAGAATTGCCCTCCTAAGATTGTATTGCTGGAAATTTCTAGTTGAATGTCGGGCTCTATACGTATGGATGACCAATGGTTGTCTTCGAAGTCCCTCATAAATAACTAGAATTTGAGTCTACCCCGACTCGAATGCTTACGATTTTCTTTCTTTTCTCGAATTTTTCGTACGTTTCAGACGGTTTTATTCAAGTCTTTGTAGATCACTCGTAATTTCCTTCGAGTTTTCTTCGTATTTCTAATGGTTTTCTCCGAGTTGTCATGGGTCATTTGTGGCTTCCCTCAATATTTTCAGGTGATGTTTTTTTTTTTTGCTATTCATTCCTATTTGCATAAATGCATGCTTGTCACCTGTTAAATTTTCCATTAAACTCGTTTGTTTTCATCTGCGACACCGACTCATTTACAAGAGTAGCAAACTCGTCAGGTATACAGGTTTGTTTTATATTTACAGCATTTTATTTTTTTTACTACACACTTTATTGTCCTTTCTTTACTTACAGTTCTCTTTTACCGCATTTTACTGCATATACATATAGTTCATGCTTGCAATGTTACTATTTATTGTTTATTGCGCTTCGTAGCATATTTCCTTTTATTTTTCATGTTACTTTTATAGACTTGCAAGGGCCTTTAGGATAAAGGACAGTAGGACACCAGGTTTAGAAGGCACCTTATGGCAAGCCACTGACCAAACAACTGTATATTTATACACACCAAAAAATTGAACATATGGCCGATATGTTAAGGAGCTTGGAGTATCCTTTCCAGGAAGCCTAACGAGAAAGCAAGCGGACGAAGGGCGACAATCGAGACCGCAACAGCAAAGTGAAGGACGATCCTCAGTTGGAATTTTCCTAGAATAAATAACAAACTCATAGGAGTTTGAGGTAGTCTGCTTGGTGCGACATAAATCCTCACTTTGGCTTTAGGCTTTTGCACCACACTATTGTGCATTATAAGTCCTAATTCTCTTTAAGATTCCGAGATCGTCATTCGGTACAACGTAAATCCTCCTATCTTTCTAGATTATTTGCACAATAGAGTATTGTGCGAGTATAAGTCCTAAATAATGAAATTGGCAGGATTAAACATCAAATAACATCTCTTCAAAATTAAAGCTTAATCAGTAGGATAGTTGGGAAGTCACCAGGGTTCCCCCTCGGATTTGTGACATCCCCTACCTTTCACTCCTTTGACTCTTAAAAATAATTGTTCCTATTTTAAGCTCTCCCCTTTTGATTTTCTTATGCCCAACCTTAGAAACCCAAACTTTAAAATCTTGAAGACTGAACCACTGAACCACTTAATCAAGTCTTATTAAGTGATTTCGATTGCTTAAGATATAATTAACTATAGAAGCTTGTCTTTATAGGGAACTAAGAACCCGGGTAAAATAAACTCTATCTAATCCTAATATTAGGTAGGGAAACTTGTCGGCTTATAAAAAAAAGACTTTGCAGACCAAACGGACGTCACAAACTATTTAGTTTATGTGGTTAAGCCTGCTAATAAATGGTGTGCTTAACCTTCAGGATAGTGTATTGTTTGTGGTATCGTGCTCAACCACCTAGACTATCAAATATGTGAGGTTCATTTGGTTTCACTTTTCTAAATTGAAATATTATTATTTTCCAAAATTATAGTCATAAATAAATTAAATTGAAGCATTATTTTTCAAAGTTAAAATATTATTTTATAAAGTTATAATCACATATATATCCATAATTAAATTATGATAAATCATAAATAAAGAATCCACCACATTCATTTGGTCGACAGCTACCTTCTTCTTCTTCCCTTGAGCACAGCTCATGAGGCCGCAACGTTGCTGTTTTGGGTAAAAAGACACGCAACATTCTCCTTTCTTCCTCTACTCTTTATATTGAAAGCCCGAGAGCTCCCTCCTGTTGCGTAAATTTATACGACAAACTCGTCTGTTGGCTTTTGTTCCCCTCGTTTCATCTCCCTTTCTATTCGGTTTCTATCTCATTGTTTCTTCTTCACTCTCTTCAGTTAAACTACTTGTCTCATCTTCCCTACCCACTCCGGTTCCTCTCAAGTAGGAAACTTTATTATTCCCGAATTGGGACTATTACAGATTTATAGCTCGAGCATCACTCGACCCTTGAATACAACTCTCGAAGAGAAAATCTGAGACTCCAAGTGATGACCCAACAAAAAGCACACCAAAACACAATTCTAAAACCCTAATACAACCGATATAAACATCCCTTGAAGAAATAACCTAATTGGAAAAAAGGGAAATAAGAAATAAGGAAAAGAAATGAAGAAAGAAATAAGCCCAGCTCACGAATCACCCTTGTTATGATTGCAGGTAAACTCACAATCCAAGGTTCCGCGGTTTCTGTGGTCTGCGAACCTAACACTTCGCGTCATTTGTTTTCTGTGTTCGAACAATAGTCCTTTTAACATATTACATTTCTACCAAACTTACTAAGCTAACAAAAAGGAAACGACCATTTCTCATAATTCCTTTTATAAGATAATGCTACAATAAGTTTCAATTAAGTAAAGAGAACAGTCAGAAGAAGTTTTATATTTCTTGCAAAAGTGACTTAGCGGCCAATAAAAAAAACAACTAATTTAAGTAGGAACGAACAGTTTGTTTTCTTTTAATTACTTTTCCTCTTGTTAGCAGATATTTCATTCAAATTATATTGCTGATCATCTTAACAAACATATGGCAATGGATGACATAAATCATGGCAGCATAAGGGGCATTTATCATGTTTTATACATAAGTAATAGTTCATGAATGAACATATCAAGAGCAAAGAATTCGGAGGTATGAAAATTAATATAAAATCACAAGTAAAAGCATAACAGAATTACCAGATAAGCCTAACATTAAAAATAATAAAAACCTGCATTGTGATCTTGCCAATTATTTAACTAGGTTCAAAATGTGTCTTAGTTCAAAATGACCTGGCGAGGAATATTTGTATCATAGAACAAAGTAAAATTTCCCTCCTTTAACTCAATATTTTTCTCAGAGCAGTATCTAAAGAAAACATTGCAAATTGCCATCAATAAGCGCACCCCTCCATAATATCCTTCATTTTGCAACCTGCATACCTGCAAGGAAAACATAGCACATCAATTATCATTAAAAAAAGAAATTAACGTCAAAAAAGTAAAGAAGAATCGCATAGATAGCACTCAATTCTCATGTATTTACAAATCTAACACCTAAGCCTCAATTTTTACATACATGTCTCATCCCCTATGAATGAAAAACTATGCATGAAAAGGTGCATTTGATTTTTAAAAGTTAAAATGGTGGTATTTTTTATGTTTTATGAAAGATTTGGGTGGCATAAATATAAAAAAGTAAGGTTTAGATGTTAGATATGTAAATAAATATAAATTGTGTGGTATGTAACCCCAGCAGCAAATGCAGCACCTAACAGAAACTAGATGGAGAAAATTAATTCACACAGCCAAACCAGAACAAGCAATGTTCCCTCCAAAAAACAGGAGGAAATCTGTATACGTAATAATATACTAGTTATGAATACAACAGCAAAGCCTTAATCCCACTACGTGGGGTCGGCTACATGAATCTTTTTTCTCCATTGCATCCTATTTAGTGTCATATTTTCATGTAGTTCTAATAAATTAAGATCATTTTTTATACAATAATCTCAAGTCTTCCTAGATCTACCTTTGTCTTTCTTAACATAAGTCGAATCTAAAACATCTACTCTCCTAATCGGATAATCAGATGGACTACGCTTAATGTGACCAAACCATCTAAGAATACTTTCTCTAATTCTGTCCGTCACAGGAGCTACACCAACCCTATCACAGATATCACAGATATATTCATTTTCTCCGCATTTTGTCTCTAAGTGTAAAGCCACTCATCCACCTAATCATTCTCATCTCGAACACTTAACTTTTAGTATTATGCTTCTCTTTTGAAGGCCAACATTCAGCGCCATAGAGCATTGTAGGTCTCAAAACCGTCTTATAAAATTTTTCTTTCAGTCTAAGTGATATTTTTCTATCACACAAAAGGCCCGAAGCATTCCTCCACTTCAACCAACCAACTTGAATTCTACTATTAACATCCCCATCTATATCACCATCGCTTTGAACAACATACCCGATATATCTAAATCGTTCACACTTTTTAATAGTTTGATCGCCCAAAGTTACACTTTTAACACTAGAGCTACAACTACTAAAATTACATTCAATATATTGAGTTTTAGTTATAGTTAAATGAAGGCCTTTAGACTCCAACGTAGACATCCATAATTCAAGTTTTTCCTAAGTTTTCTCTCCTCTCATCCACAAGAAGGATATTCTTGTAAATGTCCAGTGAGACCATCCATAAATAAAGCAAAAAGATATGGGTTTAAAGCCAATCTCTGATGTAATCCAACAGAAACAGAAAAATATTTGGTCAAACCTCCTTCAGTTTGAACACATATAACAGCTCTTCATATCAACACATTTCTTCTCAAGAACTCTCCAAATAATTTCTCTTAGAACCTTACCATACTTCTACCTTTCTTCTCAATAACTCTCCAAAGGATATCTCTTGGAATCTTATCGTAAGCTTTTTCTAAATCAATAAAAATCAAATGTAGATTTCCATATTAAATTTGAACCTCTCCATCAAACCTCTCAAAAAATGTATAGCTTCCATAGTAGACCTGCCCA